ATTTCAACAGTCGAAACTCGATACTTACTTATCATAGCTGTATAACAGTAAGACAGTTTTTGGAAAGATAGCTTTTCTTTTTTTCCTGTTCCTGAATACAGTATTGCCATGATACTATAATGATAATAGTTTTTTCATTGATAGAAAAACTGCCTTTTGAGTATTTTCTCCCCCACACAGATACAACCGCTGGCACTAAAGCAGATGAAGACACGTGTATAGCACACATTTAATCAAATTATTTACTAGCAATTCAACACTTTTTTGGTTACTCAAGTGGTTTTCTAGAACCTCTAATAATATTTGGTTTTGAATGTGCAGTTCCCAAGGTTCTTCCTAAGAAGTTGTTCCAGCATCATTTGAAGTTATACTTTTTTATTTCTTCCAACATTCTTATTTCATTTGCTAAAATTATAAGAAATATGTTTATATACAGCCTGATTTACATAGCCCGCGGTGCATTAAAACTTTTCCAGTTTGCTAGTGGATTAGTAGAGATAGCATCTAATCCACCTGCAAGCCTATGAATGGATTATGTGAATCACCCTGTATATATACCGGGTGTCCCACAATGGACGGCCACTAAATTCTCAATATTTTCAAAAAAATCTATGTTTCAGAAAATTGATCGTGGCGGTTCGTTATGGGATAGTCTGTATATATAAATATAAATTAAATACAAAAAGATGCAAAATACGAATTCTATTTTCCTGCTTAAGTCACCTGTGAAGATAACTGGCTCTAGTGGCTCTGTGTCTGTCTTACTCCTTGACCTTTCCTCAAATGAAGAACCCCTGACCTTTGGGATTGAAAAAGCTTAGATCCAAGCACAAAAAAAAAAGGGTAGGTACTATAATGTAATAACTACTTCAAAAAATAGTTAATAGCGTTGCTTTACTACGTGTAACTAAGGAGTAATTGAATATACTTACAGGCCGCAAGTTGCTTTTATGGTAACGAATCACAAAATCACAATCATTGTCGCTATTTTCTATATTGCTCTTAGTTGAATTTTTATCATTTGAAGATGATTTCGCTACAGGCCGGTTGCTGGCTTAAATCTAAATAAAAACTTATTGACAAAATGAAAATCATACACGTTTGCATTCTACATACGAGTAGGTCGAGTGAAGCTTTTGCCAGATATACCAGATGTACTGGGACTTATAAAAACATAAAAACAAATACAAGATTATAGAAACAAATTAACAAATCTTTTCTTTATAATACGTACGAGAATGTGTTAAGAGTGTATTTCGATTTTTATCCTCGCCATCAGGGTTTTGAATTTTGTCACCGTCGGTAGTGTACATGGCTTTCTCGCAGAGTGTTTTAGCTTTTTGTCTGTAAATAAACCACATTTTGATATGTGAAAAATAATTTTAATTTCTAGCAAGTGTTTTGCTCGTTCTGCATTCATTTTTCCCCACTGTACAGTTCTTGACGAAAATTCAGTTTAAAGAATGCTTTCTACAGTACTTGAACAACTGGTAGTGGTTCGCAGTTTGCAAACTTTCCCAAATACTAAAGAAGTTGATATTTTCCTCCGATGTTGTTGTCATTCAACAGAATCAGCTTGAAGCTGAGTAGTTAAACAAAGCGGGTTCTGCGACATAATGTTATCGTAATGGTAGTAGCGTAAGCGTACGTTAAGTGTGCCATCTGACTGTGGGCTTGGGTGGTAGGTAGTAGAGGTCTCAATCAATGGTGGCGCCATCTCTACGTCATTCGCAGGAAAATAAACCTTTGTTTTTAAAAAAGTTTTTTTTTTAAATTTTCAACAATAATTTCCTTTATAAATATTAGGACTGTTATTACGACTACCATCTGGATTATAGCAATATTCATAATCATAAAAATAAAATATTTCTTTATTACCGCACATCATTTGTTTTTCAATAGATATTGAGTATTTGAATAGAAATAGATCCCAAATTTCCGCCTGCGAACGAAATCCGCGAACGTACTCCTCTGGAAGTAAAAGTATGCCTATATCCGTATAAACTGCTAATTTCTGAAATCCCTGAGTATCTAAAAGAAAAAAGATAGTAACCTACAATAAATTTAAGAAAGAAAAAAATCAAAATGTCGAAAAAACCTACCAATTATCTCCAACCCATGTACGGGAAACGCTTTATTATATGGAACATCAACCAAATCTGTAACCTCTTTTTTCTCTAATATTATTACTACTTCTGCTCTAGCTGCAATACTGTCTTCTATGGATAGCTTGGAAGTACTGGAATGTTTTTTTTCCCCCTCGATGCATGATATTTACGGATAAAAAAAATAAAACATAATAGTGGCAGCGGAATAGGGATTAGGAATGTAGCTTAATTTAGGAATGGAGCATATTTGCTGACAAACATTTTTATCTTTTTTTCTTTACTGATCATAAAGGTGAATAAATAAGAAAATAGCAGATGAAACAAATATTTAGATTTTTATTTTGTGTATTTTTTTAGCTTGGTAGTTCACAAAAAGCAGATATTTTCTGTCGGAAAAACAAATAAAATACAGCAAATAAAACGAGTAAAATGATTGGAATTAAGACATGCATTTAGTAGTGATGGCGGCGACTGCTGCTTGAAGAAGTTTTTTTTTCGGTTATTGATTTGTTCTTTAAATAAGAGAAAACATTGATTGATTTATTATATAATTCAATTACTGACTCTCTCTCTCTCTCTCTCTCTCTCTCTCTCTCTCCCACTGTTTGTATGCTTTCCAAGTTTTGATGAACATGAGAAGTGACATCGGATTTTATCAGAGAATACTTTCCCTCCACGAATTCATCCAGGTACGATTCTAGCGCCTTCACTGCTCTTTTTGGGAGAAAGACCACACTCTCCGCCAGTTCTATTAGTATGGATGATCCGTATTTGCTGTGGACTTTTTTCGCTGACAACACCGGCTGCTTCTCCCCAACCTGCAGATCTTGCAGTTTTACTATTGGCTTCTGCTCCTCGTCGTCACCTACTAAAAGGCATTTCTCGTTAATGACATTCAGATCCATATCTAAAATAAGAAAATGTTTACTATTTATTGTAATATTTCTAGGTATTTCTTTCGATTTCCATATATTCTTCTTGAGTTTCATTCAGATTTTCTAAAAATTCAGTTTTGAATGCGTCAAAGACGTCTAAATCTAAATCGGGTTTTTCACAGTTTTCACCCTAATGGCTTTCGGGGCACTCGGACCTTTACTGAAATTGAGTTTTCGTCTCCTAACATTTTTTTTTCTTAACCTGATTGACCTCAGTGATGCTTCTTCATTTTGTTTTTAGGTATAATTCTGGGCTATGCGCTCCAGTTGAATGTTTGTGCACATGATAGAGTGGCTTTTTGGTATTTGTCGCTAGAACTGTTAAAGTACACGAAAACGACACGGTACACAAAATTGAAAATAAAAAATATCTCACAATTCAAAAACCAACTAGCGCAATATATTAAATAATTCTGGTTCGTTTGAATATGGAATGTTAATTAAATTAGGTAGATAATAGTTTTTATTCAAACTTTTACAGCCTGAGAGATGTGGTGAATTCCTAGAGAAAAAATTATTTTCCACCAAAAATCGCACTTTCTCACTTTCCAAATCAGCCTTTGAGGCAGCCAAGTGGCTAACCTTACTGCACATAGCATATTCATTCCTTTTCCTTTTACTGGATCCATCACCTTAAAATAGGTTTGTTTCAAGTGACTAGGTACATTAGAAAAAATAAATAATGTAGTTGTATATGACAACAGAACACGTAAATACTAATTAACAGAAAGAGCGTCAAGGTCTTCTACCAGGAGTCTAAATAATAAAATACAGAGATCCAATCTTTGAAATTTAACATAAATGCCAAAAACAGCAAATACTTACTAAGCAGTGTAAAAATAGTGTTTTTTCCAGGGTTTCATATATTGACCATCCATGATTAAAAATTCAAGTTAAATTTAATCTCCGGTTAAGTTCAAAGTTGGTGTCAAATGATAGTTTATGAAAATCTAAGATAGGAATGTAAAATTGGTTTTCCTCTAAAATTAACCGTTTAGGTTTTACAACCTGTCAAAGTTGCAAAAAGTCAATTTTCAACTGTCAATATTTCCAAAACAGTTGAACTTAGGTATAGGGTATATCACATAAAATCTGCTCCGAATTTAACGTAGAATCCAAATATGCAATCACATACAGGGTGTTCCATTTAAAATAGCGATGTTGCCACTAGTTTACAGTAGGAGCGGCAACACCGCATAAACAAAAATATTTTTAAAGTGTAGATTATGGTCGTTTATCCCGGTTGCCAAATTTTTAAAATGATCAGCTTTTTAGTTCTCCATTAACGTCTAATACGCCATCCACCGTGGGACACCCTGTATACCTCTAGGTATGAGGCTGGGTCGCTCTTTGCAGAGTTGACTATGGCTTCTGGCGAGATCATGTCTGGGCCCGGGGCTTTCTTTATTTTTAGTGTTGCTAAGGCTTGCATCAGTTCATGTTCTGTGAACATCTTGGCGGTTTCTCCTAATTGGGGGTTCTCTTTAATCCACCAAATAATATTTTCGTGTTTAGGGAACAGCTTTTCGATCTGTTTAACGTATGTTTCTTCGCTGATCTCAATTCTTTTTTTTAGCTTCATTTTATTCGTCGCGATTTGATATGCATTTCCCCATACGTTTTCTTGCAGTTCCTCACATAGTTCTTTCCACTTTTCTCTCTTGCAACTTCTTATCGCCCTTTTGAGTTCTTGTTTGGATTGCTTGTACTCTGCTATCCTCTCGTCTATGACTTTCTGTCCCTCTCTTTCAGACCTAGCCCTCGCTGCCATTCTTCTTAACCGGTTGGATTTGGCCCTCTTTTCGGAGATTTCAGCATTCCTCCAGGGCACTGGTTGTCCCCTGCATCAAGCCGTGTAGGAATTCAGTTTCCAGTCGGAAGGATTCACCGTTTGTTGAGGAAAGGAAACTACACCGAAAGAGTAGGAGCCGGCGCTCTCGTATACTTGGCCGCCGTCATGGAATATTTGGCCGCCGAAGTACTCGAACTGGCAGGAAATGCAGCCAGGGACAACAAGAAAACTCGTATCATTCCGAGACATCTTCAATTGGCCATAAGAAACGACAAGGATTTGAACAAACTCTTGTCAGGAGTGACCATCGCACAGAGTGGTGTGCTGCCAAACATCCAAGTTGTTCTTTTGCCCAAAAAGACAGACAATAAGGCCAAGTGAATAAACATATATTTACTTCGACATCAATCGGGCCTTTTCAGAACCAGAATTAAAAAAAAGAATTCGTATCGAATGAATGAATGCTCAAAAAGGATGTTTAAATATTTAAATAGTCCTTTGTCCTTTCTGGCAGTCTTTTTTGAATTTTTCATTGCCCTTAGGAGTAAATTGCCAGTCCTTTATTCGAGTTTTCGTCTGTGCTTTCGTTCTTTTCACCTATTTTAAGTCTGTATGTGATCGTGCGATGGTCGCTTAGGTTTTCGGGGACTATTTCGACTTGGTGTCAGTTATGGAACTTCCGCGTTCCGTGGAAAAAGTTGGTACGTTTCCCTCGTTAATTATGAGCAAGTCGTTATAGCTGATCCAGTCTTCGAGGAGTCTTCCTCTGTGGTTCTCTCTCCCTGTCCCCATCAGCGTCGCCGTTATTGCATTTAGATCTCTCCCTCGCAGTTTACATCCCAGAGGTCAACTTTCTCTCTCATATTTGGCTCACATCCCATAAGTATATGTACTTTTTCTCTATTGACCCTCTCCGACATTAAGTTGTGCGCCGCCTTGCAGCGGTTGAAATTTAGCTGAAATATGTTTATAATATATCCCATTGTTTTGGATCCTCGACGTCCTCTTCGTCTGTTTCTGTTATTTGTCTATTGTTTTCACTGCTTCTGTTCCTGTGCTCATTTTTTTCTGGCTGTGCTGGGCTCGTCTAACTATGAGACACATCTTTCTCCTATTGCCTTATCTATCTTTAGGGTGGCGTTCAGCATTCCACCTCTCGCACTTGATCTGAGCTCCCCTATTTTGTATTTGTCGTCCATGAGTTGTTCCCCAATGGTGTTTTCGATAGCTGTTTTAATTTCTTCTCTCGTTGTGGTAATGTCCATATACCTTATGAAGATGGTGTCCCATTTTTTCTTCTCTCCTATTGAGTGCACTTTTGTCCCCTCGCTGTTTTGATTTAATTATCTCTTTTATTTTATTGACCGCCTTCTCGTCTTTTTCGATAGAAATTATGACTTTTCCATCTCGTGTCTGTCTCACTGCTCTGACCTTGTCTATTTCGGCCGTGTTTGTAAGATTTTGTTTGATTTCCCTTACTATGTCTTTGTAGTCTAGGTCCTTGTCTTCTACAACCACTGCGTACGTCTTCCTTTGCGTTTGACTTGAGTTTTTGTTTGCTACGTCTGGCGGTGTTGCTGTGTAGATCACTGCCATTTTATATGGTGGAAGCAGCGTACTATGCCGTCTCCGTTCCACTTTTGACCCTTTTGATTTGGTCGAAGAGGGTCTTCATTTCCAGGGTATCGTAGTTTTCTGTTATCCCTCCTAGATCTGGGTAGCGGTTCCGGTATGCGGCCTGTAGGGATTTTTCCATTTCCGGGTCATGTGGTTCTACTATGACCACTTTAATTACCGAGTTATTTGTTTTTAATGGGCTTCCTACTGTTATCTCTGTGTTAGTGCAGATCTCTAGTGCCCATTTTTTATTAGCCACTTTTTCGTATTCCTTGAACGTGTCAGCCGAGTTGAGGTGTTTCAGGTGGTTGTGATTGGGGTTCGTTTATGTGGGGACCTCGTCTATCTGAGTTTGCATCTCAGCTGTTTCTACTTTCTTTGATTTGCATAGTTGGCAATCTGGCTTGTATGCTTTCTCCTGGAGGAGGCTTTTTTTCGGTTCTTTGTCATCGGTGGGTATTTCTATTGTTTCTATTCGCATTTGTTCCAGCAGGGCCTTTGCTTGTGTACTGTTTATCACTTTCATTTGCCTTTTAATCTTCTTACATATTTCCTTAATGGCTCGTTTGGTGTCCTGTTCTATGTGGCCCTCCAGCCCAGTGCTTAAGTTGGCTATCTTATCCAGAGCTTCCTTCAAGGCGGCGTATTTTGCTTATTCCTTTTTCTTGTGGGTGGTTTTTGCTTTCGGGTCTCCTTCTATGAAAGTGTCCGCTAGCTTTCTTTTACTCTTGTCCTGGAGCTCAGAAACAATTTTATCACCTGATATAAACGGAGATTCATCTTCGGGTCCCTTATTGGCGCTGATCTGTTCCTTCCGAGGTGGCGATCTCGGGATGGAACCCCGTCTCCCAAAGTGTATAGACCACTCATTTCTCCTAGTTTTAGTCGGGTATCATTGGCACCTCGGCCTGGTTCCCTACCAGAGGCGCTGTACAGACGTTTGTTGACGGTCGAGGCTGGCCTGCACCACCACCAGATTTCTCGACCGGTACTGTGGTATCCCCCCTGCACCGTAAACTCATTTTCTATATTCGTGCTTGCTATCATAGAATTTTGTTTTGCTTGGGAGATTTGGGGGAGAGAAAGGGATGCCCTTAGCCCTCGGGTAACCTAATAGCGTCGGGAGGGAGTGTGGGGTGGAGAGCGGAAGTGGTTTTTTGGGTTGGGGATGTTTGGAATGGGATCGCCCCGGGTTTAGGGTGATAGCCCAGCTGGGGTGCCCCGGGTTTGCCGGTTGCCCGTGTCCGCAGTGCGGATCCCTGGGGTTGAGCTGTCCTTAGCAGCGGCTGACCAGTCAAATGCACTGTCAGTCGCTGTGCCCCTCCACTAACGACAAGGTCTCACAGCTCCTTAAGGCCACATTGATCTGAAAATCTCTAATACTTTTTTTTCTACTCTACTTGCAAATTTCTTTTCTTAACCAATGTAACCATGCTTGGTACAATCAATAAAATTCGAATATCTTGAAAACCATGAAGAATTGTATAGTAACATAAAGGGTTTTTATTGTCGGCAATGACCTCCTTTATCACCCCTTTCAGTTTGGACCGTGACTTATGGGACACCCACGGCTCCAAAAATTGTAAAAATACTATTCTACTAACTGGTTTTGTGAATCATTCTACGTGTACAGGTGAAAAGCAGATAAAATTTGAGGTGCTTGGTTTCTCTGATAATATTTTTAAATATTTTAGAACCAAATATGTTGGAGACGGCTCAACCAAATATAGACAAACTATATAATTTTGGAATCGGGAAATTGTGCTCTTCAAGAATATAAAACCAAATATAGGGGCATCCCATTTGAAAAAAGCTGAAAGCATACAACATTACATTTTTCTCACATTTAATTTTTGTTTCTGACCATGGATTCTAAAAATTTAGCCGAAACTGTACAACTTTTGTATTTACACCTTTCTTCTACTTGTAAAGGTGAAGGCTGTAGGTGGGGTGTCAATATATAAAAAAAACATCCTGTACAAATTGGTTAGCATAAATTATAAAAATCAAATAATTTTTCTACCACCAGTTCATACTTTTGACACATTTATTAATTGAAAAATGACCAAATTTATTTGTATCGGTTAGCTAAAATGATCCAAGTTTTACCTCAACTTTAAGGTTTCATTGCAAAATTTTATAGGTACCTAAAGAACATATTTCTATAAATAAAAGCACACTTTTTTAATTATGTTTTTATTTTCTATCATCTACTTTTGAACTTAAAATTGAAATATATTGATGATGATTTTTTTCTTCAAATTTAACTGCACATAAATTAAAAACAAACCAAATCCTGGCTAACAAGAATATAAACTAAGAACTCTATAAAATCAGTGAAATCAAGCAACAGTACTTACCAATAAAGCCCTTCCTAAGATACTCATTCTCCTCCACATTGAAAGCCTGATATACTGCTACCTCCTCAAGCTTCTTATCATAATTTACAAAATTGACTGTTCTGCATTGTCTTGTTTCTTTTCTTGGCTCTCTGTCCCAAGATCTTCTTTTTTTTTTATGGGTTTCTGTCACCGCCTTAATTTTTCTGTTTACCTTCAAGCGTGTGTTACTATGTTTTAGTATACAATCTCGAAAGAAACTCCCTTGCTGGGTATGTGAAGGAATTGTCAGATTTTGTTACAAATAATACTTGATTTTTTTGTTACTTTAAGAAAAAGATAACCTAGGGTCGTGAATTCAAAGGAAAATTAAGATAACGTGTAGCCCCTTTGTGTGCAAATGAAACCACTCAAAATCCAAGAAACAATAATTTTATTTAGTGTAAACAATCTTGGTTGAGTAAATAATGTAAACAATATAGCTTGGTTGTTCTGGTGAATCTGATGTACCTTTCCAATCCGGAGCTCTTCAAAGGGTGTTAGGGTTTCACTTTCGCGAACTGGAGCTCTTGGTGTTGTTTCCTGTTTCCAGGAAGAGGGTAGATTGCTGGGGTGACGTCACTCCAGCTGATCCAGACTCCAAACAGTGATCTTTATGTACAGTAGGTACCCAGAAAAGAAGAAGGCAGTATCAGGTTCACCAATATTTGGAACATTAAATTCCTGAATTCTGTCAAAAGTGAGTGTCTTGCGCAGAAATTGAAGTTGAAATTTAGTATAAAATGATTGTTGTACAGACACTCCCTGCCAACAAAATCAGGTATGAAAAACTATTGCAAGTTGAAAAAAATATATATATTTTAATATAAAAAAAATAATTAAATAATTAAGATTAATGGTGAGATAATAAAAAAAATAAGGTAATAACAAGATTAAATTAGAATGCTCGTTACAATTGAGCAAAATGCTGCTTCCTTGAAAAACAGCTCTGGCAGGTAAAAATACAAGCAAAAATATGAGCAAAAATAAGGTGAGTAAAAAAAAAAGAAATCAAATGTCTGGATTCTTCCCCAAATAGACAAAATTCTCCCCTCGAATTAAGTTAGCTACCACAGATACTAGATAAACCTAGGGTTGAAATTAATCAAATCCAGAATGTGTCAAAATTCTTGAGATGTTTTAATTAAAACTTTCAAACTGAATTTTTGACCTGTCTGGATTTCTATTAAAAAATTACACCCTTTAGTTAAGATAATAATTTAAGGAGTCAAGCAGAAAATGGCTGTTCAGGCCTCTGTTGGGATTCAATAAAGGATTAATGGGGAGAGACTCACAAATTTGGTTTTCACCGACTCTATTAGGAGCAAATGATCCAATTTTCCCACACTAAAAATTGTTTCTGAAAGCCAGAGCAGCAGTACCTATTTGAAACCCAAAAATTCTTGACTTACTTCTTAACAAAAATGTGGTACTAACCAATAAATAATTCACACAAAATGGAAGCCAACAATCAGATAAAAAAACCCTAAAATATAATATTTATATTTCAGGAACAGATAAGATAAGATTTATCAGGTAAAAACTTAATAATGATATGATCATTCTGAAAAATCTACAAGGGAGGATCCAGAAATTCACAGGACAAAATTTAAAAAAAAATAGAGGACTTGCCTGGCCAGAGTGTTCTTCAAGAAGAGAGCGTTTTAGAGAACCAAGCTAGCAGGAAAACGATTCTGTGTTTTTTTATACTTCTCTGCATTCCAACCAGTTTCAAAAGGTTTGAACCAATCAGACGAGTACACCCAGAAGACCATATTCACTTCAAAATGAAAACACAATGAAAAGACCGCATGGAATAAACGAAAATAGATAAAAATCCACTAAAACTATTTTAATTATTTATAAATTATAATAATTTAAATTAAGGTTATGTCAAAAATAAAAGACTGTTAATTAATTAGATCTTTAAGTCAAAAATGAATATTTAAAAAAGGACAGAAATATATCCATTTGCTAAAAGTGAGATGAATATAATTTCTTTCAATTAAAAATACAAATTACTGCCAAATGCGAAATAAGTAATCATACTTTGAAATATAGATCGATCATCGGGCACTAGATGGCAGTACTAAAAAATCAATTCTCGATACATGCATTTTACCGAGCATTTTACGCAAATGTGGATAGATGGCGGCACTTGTGTTATTTGAATTTAATGGATATTTTTTAGAATATTGGAAATTATTTTGAATTCTGAAATGAAAAAAATACAACTTTATAATAAAAATAAGAAGAGATGGAACATGTTATAAAATATGTTCAGAAATTCCAGTGCTTCTACTCATACCTGTCGATGAGTATTTAGTAAGTAACTGTTTTGTGAACATAATGCCTGCCAACTTGAAGCGAGCCGTTTCATGTGGCATTGCTGATCCGATAAATCTCGTCAAGTGGGTGAAAACTGTTTTCTTATAGGACCTGTCTGCCTCCAGATCCTTTTTTAACTTTTCTAAGGCAGGCACTAAGTCAATTGGAAATATTTCCAACTCATCCTCAGTAATCGTCAAGGAGGACTCAGTTTTTTGCAAGATTGTCAAGACGCACAGAAACATGAGCATATTTTTCCACAATTTTTGCCAATATGTTTTCTTTACCTGGCATGACAAATACGTCCAATGGAATTCTGAAGTACCATTCAGTTTCTGCATATTTAATATTGTTACGTCCAGATTTTGGTCGCAACGTCGTCCAAATACCAGACGAATAATCCGGGATTGGAAGGAATAAAAAGTCCAATTTAAAACAATAACAAATCGGGATTTATTAATAAATAATAGAAAAGAAAGTTTAACAAAAAAATTGAATAAATAAAATAAAACAAAATGAAATTTTGGAAATTAAAAATTGAAAGTTAAATCAGATTGCGATAAAATACAAATCGAAAGATTTTGGTTCGTACTTACATTATATGACTCAACATAATTTTGCACAACACTTTGTACTTTCTTGAAGTCTGCGAGGGTACTGTCCAAGCTTTAATTCGGTTTTTCGCCATCGAGTCTTTGATAAGTCAGCAAAATCAATTTTACCTTTGAAATAATTGAACTATCGTTTTGCGGACTCATCGAAGTTACAAAATTATAGTTATTGATTCATAACCGAAATTGTTTAATTTTACAAAAGGAAACGACTTGCAGTTTTGCGAAAAGTCAGTGAACTGAACTTTGAATAGAAAATTAAAATATTCAGTTTTTTTATGAAAAATATTTCCTTTTGTAAATTATAAAAACTT